GGTTTGATTTCTTTGTATGTATGGATCACTTGGGTTGTTACCAACATCTGGTGAAAATTTCATGTCATTAGCACCTCTAGTAATATATTTACTGAGAAAAATAGTGACGTGTTCAATACTTATTTTACCCGCTGTATACTGTATATTCCCCAGTACCTACAGTATGTTCCCCAGTATGTGTTCACCAATATGTTTCCAGTTAATGATGTCACTCAGAACCTATATGTTTCCAGATACCTATGTTCTCTCAGTCGTTGAACCAGGGATGATGGGTACTGAGAAACATGGGGATGACCCCATGCTTTCATCTTGTCCTGTTTAACTTTTGTCCAAGTCAAGGAGAAATTATCCAAAATTTCAGTTTCCAGAATCTGTAAAAACAGCTCCACAAATTCCAACAATACACTTTGAATGGGCATTTTTATGCTAAGAAGAATTAATCGAATTAAAACAGGATGGGAGAAAGTGATTTTAAAAGAAATAAGTTATTGCAGATTACAAAAACAGATTTATTGTGAAGGAGAAGAGACAAAATTAAAGAAGCAGTACCCTTTAAATATTAATTACACTGCTATCTAAGTGGTACTGATCCAAGTTTATTGCTCACCGATCCATGATTATTACAGCAATTGTCAACTTGTGCAATTAAATACTTAAAAAAATACAGTGTTAGAAACTACTACAGCATATACTATAGTGTATTTCTTCCTGTCACACTTTTAGAGCTGGATTCAGAAGAATGCTTTAAACTTCTTCACTGCAACTTCAACTATGGAGATGAAGTCCTGAGATTTTTTTAAACCTGGATTGAAATAAAACACTGATTCTAGTCTTTGGTTTTGACTTTTTTCCTTCCTTTTTGGGGAGTGGGGGGTTGCACAGACCATTTGTCATGAGAGAAACCTTCAAGAGCCAGTTGTGGGTGTTTCAGGGCCTGTAGTGAAGATAGGATTTCTTCACTGCTTGGTCATGAATAATTCAGTACAAGGAGGCTATACAGCTCACCTAGAGAGAGTCACATAAGACAAGGATGTGCCTTTAACGAAGAGTGCACAAAAAGAGCGAGAGACGAGGCTGAGAGAGCATGGAGGAGGTGGCGAGGAAACGACCAATAATCTCCGCAAAAGAACGAGGTCAGTGAAAGAGTTCGGTACAGTGTGTGTGTGTGTGTGTGTGTGTGCATGTGTGTGTGTGTGTGTGTGTGTGTGTGTGTGTGTGTGTGTGTGTGTGTGTGTGTGTGTGTGTGTGCGCGCGCGTCCACATGGAATGTGTTAAAGGTTCTGGTTTTGCCATGAAATCTCTCACAGCATCACAAAGCTCCACACTTGTTTGAGATTTCTGCTTTGTTTAGAATCCYTTCCCAAACAACAGAGGAAGAGCTTAAACTGCATAACCATAGAAAATAAGTTAAAGAGCTCCATATGGAAATGATCAGGGACAATGCGGGCCGAGCCATGGAGTCGTTGGTGTGCTGAGCTAAATCTGTTGCATCATCATCATCCCTGTCCTCCTCCTCCTCTTTCCTTCTCCCTGTCAGGTCCTGGTCCTGGACGCTACGGTCTACCCCCCACAGTCGGGTACATCAACCATGACTTCACCAAACCCAGCAGCCCTGCTTACACCTTCCACAGCCGCATGAGCAGTGCCAGTGAGTTTCCATTTAGTCCTATTATAAGAGAATTTGGCTAAAATACCTACTCAGATTGACATTATGTGTCATATGTATGTAACATGGACACTAGCCTGATAATTTCCTGATGTATCTCAGTAATCCAGGTAGAAAAAAAATCAAAAAGAAAAAAATAAATAGTCCCTCTGGATGGGTTCTTCTTTAGTGAAACGTTTCATCTCTCCTCCAAGAGACTTCTTCAGTCTGTTGAGTTTCAGGTGAAACTCAGCCTTATAAGCCCTGCCTCCACATGGTGGACAAACAGGTTAATCACATGCAAAAGAGGGCCATCGACTAACAATAGGCTTGACTGGCTCTAGTGTTCACAGAGGATCATGTGCCCCATCACCTGACCCATGTCGTGTTATGTGAATGTAGTGAATGCAAGCGGGGGTTTAACATCCCCTTGTTTTTGTCCCTCCCTCCCTCTTTGTGTTGGTATCATTGTTGACGTCACCTGGGTTAAAATTAAATCCCAGGAAGTCCAACATTTCACTGATCACATCAACTCTGTGGATAAATATATAAAAAGTTCACATGAGAGGATGTAAAAGATGGCAGGTTGGCATTCCTGGACTGTGATGTCTCAGTTTCAGATGGAGGACGGTTGGAAACTGACGTGCATCGCAAACCCACCCATACAGACCAGTATTTGGGTTATGATTCCCATCACCCACTGGAACACAAGTTAGGAGTGATCAGAACTCTGTACCACAGAGCAGACAGTGTCCCTAAAATAAAAAGGAGCCAGAGAGAAAGAGAAGTCATACACAAGACAGGCTCTGGAGCAGTGCGGTTATCCTAACTGGGCTTTTCTGAAAGCAGATAAGAAACCCAAACAGGATTCCAGCCAACAACCAGCTGAAAATGAAGATCCTAAACCCAGACCCAAACCTGTTGTCATTCCGTATGTGGCGGGAGTTTCAGAGAAACTGAGACATTTATTTTCTAAACATGAGGTCCCAGTTGCTTTCAAACCCCAAAACATGTTACGACAAAAATTAGTTCACCCCAAAGATCCAGTTCCCCGGCAAAAACAGAGTAATATAGTATATGCTGTTGAGTGTCAGGAGGACTGCGATCAGTTATACATCGGGGAAACAAAACAGCCACTGTTCAAAAGAATGAGCCAGCACAGACGAACTACTTCGTCGGGTCAGAACTCTGCAGTTTTCACTCATTTACAGGCCAGCGGTCACTCTTTCAGAGATGAAGATGTTCTCATCCTTGATAGAGAGGAACGTTYGTTTGAGAGAGGAGTAAAGGACGCCATCTTTGTGAAGAAAAACTGTCCACTATTAAACAGAGGTGGAGGCCTTCGTGTCCAGTTGTCCTCCTCCTACAATGCTGTAATTGTAAGTATGACTCAGCCCCCTGTGAGCAAAAGGTGTGAATCAGGGCCCAAATGATACCAACACAAAGAGGGAGAGAGGGACAAAAACAAGGGGATGTTGAACCCCGCTTGCATTCACTACATTCACATAAAGCTTAGGTTCTAGTTGACACGACGCACAGGGCGCGAGGGGGTTTGCGTCAAAAGTTACGCAATCGCACATCCCCGCCCCTGCGCATTGTGTCCTGACGCATGGTCGTGCACCTCAGAAATTTTGAAGCTTTGCAAAGGCTGCGCGCCACTCGTCGCAACGGTGCTCTCGCTGAGCAGGTCCAAATGTACCGACATCTGTATGATCCCTCCATGAGAGATCATAAAGACAACCAGATGGCACAAAACTCGTGGAAGGAAATAGCAACAGCTTTAAAGAAAGATGAGTTAATATGCCGSACGACATGGAAAAACATTTGCGACCGTTTTGTGATCCTGGAGGAAACAAACCAGTGTGGCTCTCTCAGTTAGTGAAGCACAGAGAAACAGATAATATAAAAAAAGAGGTAAATATTGTTACTTTATGTGTGACGTCAAGCGTTTCTTCTTCTACACTCTTCCTGACTACTTTTCTGCTGGTTTGGCACCGTACTGCCGTCTGTCGGTGACGGAAGAACATCGATAACATGAACATCAACCATGTTTTCACACAGCGTGCCGCTCAGGAGCGCGTGCACTCTGCGGAGCTTGCACAACAACCCAAAGCGCGACTATAACCCAGCCTTAACACGATACGAGTCAGGTGATGGGGCACATGACTCTCCATGAACAATAGCGCCAATCAAGCCTATTGTTAGTCGATGGCCCTATTTTACATTTGACTAACCTGTTTGTCCAGGTGGAGGCAGGGCTTATAAGGCTGAGTTTCACCTGAAACTCATCAGACTGAAGAAGTCTCTTGGAGGAGAGACGAAACGTTTCACTAAAGAAGAACCCATCCAGAGGACCTATTTATTTTTTTCTTTTTGACTAGCCTGATAAAATTTTATTTTCTATAGTGGTTTCTGTAGACTCCAGCCCAGGTCCAAGGTACTACATCGGTGACCAGGTTACACGCTTTGGGCGAAACAAGTCACCGTCCTATTCGATTTCTGGCAGAGGAAGACGAATCATAAATAAAGGTAACCCCAGGAATCTACCCTCTCTGGCCTGAGAACACCTTCTTATCCCAGACCAGAGGGAGTATAAAGATCCTTTAACAGGTTCTGGGTCTTTCTTAAGGTCTTCTTCCAGATTTCCACTGCAGGCCTTTAGGTATCAAAAATGTACAAAATTTACTTAAGGATAAAAGCTACAGATTGACAAGGAGCAGAGATTGTGACAACACACAACAACAGCTACTGAAGCTATAACACTTCTATACACCTCCTCWATACAAGCTGGCACAATTTATTCTCATGTTTTCCTCTGATTTCACCCTTGCTWTTTACAAAAGTTTACAAAATATTACAAAATGTACAGAGGGAAAAAAACTACAAAAAGAAACATCTTAAACTTTGGCGAACTCAAAGATCTGCACGGTGCCCTGAGGCGTTGCCAGCTAAGAGAAAGTGTCGGAAATCGACCGCCCCTGCTTGAAAATCAGGACCTCCCTCTTTCAGTCAAGCAACGGTTGCAACTTTAGATGGACCAAGACATAAAGAGTTTACCATTTTAAGCCATCTCCTTCTTTATTACAACAAACTAAACCATCCCACCTCTTAAAGCAGACAACGTCCTGATATGCCCGTCATTTCCCAATCTATTCCTACCATCACTCATTGACAAGATGTCAAGGTGGCAGAATGGGAGCATTCCACCTTGTTTTAGGTCAAGAACTATGACTTCTGACTTGAATGAGATGACTCTCGTCTCAGCCTGTTCAGARTCGGTGGTGAACTTCAAAAGGTCATGGTTTGAAGATGCCAACAGAACCTCATCATCTGCAAAACGCAAAGATGAGACGCTGATGTTCCTCAGCTGCCAAACACASTTCTCTCCATGAACTCAAGATCCCATCCATGAAAACCACAGAAAAAAAGAGACAGGAGGCACTGACAAGTAGAATGGTAAATGGTAAATGAACTGTACTTTCTATCCAACCAGGATACTCAAAGTGCTTTACAGTACAATCTATGTCCTCATTTACCCATCCACACAGCACTCTATTAGATCTCTACAAAGCTAATATGGGTAAATCAATCTATGGAGACTAATAAATGCTTTAAATCACATCCATACACTGATGGGACACACATCAGAGGCAGTGGGGATTCAGTGTCTTGTCCAAGACACTTTGACATGGCYGAATAGCACGCTATTCAGCTCTGGATGGAGCAAACCAGACCCTTTAGAGTAGCTTGTTTTGTTCTAACAGTGTGTCTTTCTTTTTGGTCATCTTTCAAAACATATTTCTGTTTCTAGATGAGCCCTTTCAGACGCCGGGACCGGGGGCTTACAGCCCAGAGAGGGTCCCACCGGTCAACGCTCAACGCAGACCTCCAGTCTACTCGATCGGAACCCGAACAAGATACCGTTCTGCGGACCCTGTACCTGCCCCCAACAGGTGAGAACAGGGAGGGTAGACAATCCTCTTTAGCCATGACTTAAAACATGATTACACTGTAGTGAGGAAAAATGTCTAATTAGTTAAGGTTATCCAGGCGCTGAGAACACTGCAGTGACTTGAGACCACATTAATTAACATTTAACCAGAGTGCTGYTCTTTGAACCTTCTCTCCATACCTGAATGTAACCACAGATGGGGATCAAATCTCTGGTAACACAATCAACAAGCATCCTTTAAAGTCTGCTGCTTCTTAAAACATACTGTAGTTTTCTGTTTGTAACCTAGTAAAATGCTCTGGTTTAGTTAATGAGTTTAGATTAACTCAGAACGACAGCAGCCTAAATAAATCAGAAGGAGTGATATTTCTTTCTTTGATCCACCAGATACACTCTTCCTGATCTGCTGGGCCCTCAGGTTCCACACAAACCGTCCAGTGCCAGTTACAGCTTCTCAGCCCGAAGGCTCGTTGGCGCTCCCTGRGAAGATCTCGCCAGGACACCTGGACCGGGCCAGTACAGGAGCACAGACCCGGACGTCTACAAAAAGCGCCAACCGTCCTTCACCATGCAAAGTCGAAACAAAAAACCAAATTATTCCACGGCAGTTCCTGGTCCGGGAGCGTACAGCCCCGAGCGGACTTACAGTCACCTTCACAAATCCTCGTCTTTCACTTTGGGCATCAGACATTCAGAGTTTATTGCTCCACTTATGGTTCATGTGACTGACTGACAGTTAACATTTTATTCAGTTTTTTTACATGATAATACTAAAGTACACTTTAATAAATTAGCACCTTAACAACAACAGTTTTAAGTGACGTGACAGGTTTTGCACAAATAACATCCACAGATGTATTTATAAAGAAAAAAATTACAGACAACTCAAACTTGGTTTGTATGTATTGCAAATACATTTATATATTATATATATTTACATATTTTCCTCCAGGCTAGCTTTACTTGTTTACATTAAAAAAGAAAATGAACAAAAGTCTTTAGGGTTTTGTTTTTGGTACAGTGATTGTTACAGGTGAGCTCCAGTCGCTGCATCGTCCCAAACCCAGCATATCTTTAGCACACACCTGGAACTGGTAGACCCTCCCTGGCATCAGACCCTTCAGATCCGCCTTGGTGTTCTCAAACGGACCCAGCTGAAAGCATAAAATAAATTGTGTTAATAAAAAAACACTCAAAGCCCGATGGAGTGGTTAAAGGAGTCTGCTTTGTTTTAGCTCCTCCCGTCTGCAGGGGTCGCCACAACAACTAATTGTTCAACACCAGGTGGTCTTCCTGACATAACCTGGGCTTGAACCCTCCACCAACCCTCCGCTACAACAGTCCTCTTTTCACACATTTAAAAATGTCAGAAAGCTGTTTTTGTTCCAGGTTAAACAATAAGCAGATTTTATCTCATTTACTTCAATGTGGATGTGATCTGATAATGRAAGTGTTAAAAATTAAAATGTAATCACTGTTAAATATTGAACTGGTTAGCAGATATCAGCTTGTGTAGCATATTTTTATACAGAGAGTAGTACTCTGCTGAATAATGRCACAATTTAGCACAAATGKTTAAATATTACAAGCTGGTTATGCCTCTAATTTATGTAATAATTACACAGTGTAAAATAATATTATATGTTTTAATATTTTTCAGTTTCTATTGGACAAACCTGACCTGTTCATATCAGCAGAGACAAGCTTCATCCTGAAGTATCACAGAGTATGCAGTGAACATTTTCTAAGTGTGTAACAACCTGAAGTTGCACATGATTWAGTTTGATTATTTTCACCTGGTTTTCCTCACCTCCGATCTTAATTGCTGATTTCTGTCATCTGTGTTAGACACAGCGACTTCCCCTTTAAAAGCCGCCCTCACCCTCAGTTTGTTGTTGTMTTCGTTTCACTCTGGTCAAAACCAAGTTGAGCAGCAGCTCTCCAAACCTGCGTTATTATCAAAGTTCCATCAAGAGGTGTTTAATCCCTCTGAGGACTTTTATTATTATTAACTGTGGAGTTTATAGATTAAAATCTGCTGGAGCCGACGCCTGAAAGCCTCATCTTGTCGCGTCGTTCCTCACGCAGTAAACCTTTCGTCAACAAACACATTAAACCTTAACACCCTCAAACACACCAGCGTTCTAAAAACACACTACAAAAAAGTAAGTGTTTCATGTTGTTTAATCAGATGAAATGATTTATGCAAAAATAGTAAATGTATTTATTTTGTGTGTGCTTTAGCTCCTGGATGGAGTTTTTTTTTGGTGAGGAGTGTATTTTTGATGAGGTGCTTATTTTTTGGATGAGTGACAACTTTTGTGTATGGGTGGGGTATATTTTGATGTAATTGGTTTTGTATTTTGTATTTAAATTGCTCTGTTTTTGTCCTTTGTAAACAATATATTTGAGAAGAAAACTTAAATCATTGTCTGTGCTCACTTATTTTTGTGTAATATTTTTTGTCACTTAGTATTTAATTTTAGTTGAAAAGGGTGCGTGTTTTTATTTCTAAAATTACATGTCCTTGTGTGTATGGTTTAAACCTAAAAACTACCTCTAAATAGGGTTGGGCAATATCGGCAAAAAAATAAATCACGATTAATTGTGGTATTTAGCCGATAACGATTAATTTGACGATTAATCCCCTGGAGTCCCTGGACACCCTTATTTCATAGTTACATGACCAATTTAGTGGGAAAGATTTGCTCTTCATAAAATATGTTCCAAATTGTGTCAAAATTACAGACTTCAGGCTATACATCAAATTCTAAATGGTGTTGATAGATAAATAAGTTACAGAACTTTTTTAAATGTTCGTCATATTTGAAGCTGATAGGAGCAGCGAGCGGACTCTGACTGTTGGCATTAATCGTATTAATTGTCAAGTGCCAAAAATTAATCGATGTTTTTCTGACGATTAATCACACACGATACGATTATGCCCAACCCTYCCTCTAAACCATAATATTAAAAACAGTAAACATCCTACATGCCAGGAGGGAAACCTGGCTGGCACCCCAATTAAGTATTTAAAATAACAGCAATAAAATCAAATCATCAAACCATCACAAGTATCGACTACAGAACAGGTAAATAATAATAAATGTTATTACGAGTTGAAGTCAATTCTTCAACTAGTTTAAAAGTGCAAGTTACTGATGTTGAATCCAGTTTAAATCTGTTGCCCTGTTTGGTCGCCATCTTTGCTCCTCCACAGYACAGTGGACAAGACAGGCTGGGCTCACTCTAGTGTTACTGAACTCTATGGGTAGTYCATGTGAATATGCTGAAATATATTTTTGGTCTGGTTTATYTAACAAAAAGACCTTTWAAAYAAAATCAAACTGCAAAATAGACAATTTCAAAATCTAATTTAATTTGAAGGCCTGTCACACCTGCAGCCTTGTGTGCCAACGTTTTGAACCCAGATCTTGTGCGAGCTGTTAGAACTCAGAGTGTGTGTTGGGGAGGATCCTCGCCTACAACCACACCAAATTTCAGCTCAGTTTCTGTAAAAATGACTTAAGGTATGAGCATTTTTGTGTCGGCTTAGGTCGACCAGATGCCACAGCCATTTTGAACTGAGCTGACTTTAAAGGTGACTCAGCTGTAGGTGTGCATCCAGTGATTACGCTCTGTGCTGACTGCAGTGGAGCACCTCGGTATTAAATCACCTTTATGAAACATGTTGAATATTTTAGCTGATTTTATTTTGCAGTTAGAGAACATGGTCGCTGCCCTCAGTGTAATACAGTTTGTCACGTCCTCAGATGACCTCATTTGTTTTTACTTTTTGGGTTTTTCTCTCCAACTTTCAGGGAAAACGGCTCGTTTGTGTTCGAAGGTGTAAGATAATGAAAGTGTGACTGCTGCGTTGACTGTCAAACAGCTTCCTTACACCTGCTTTACGTTGGCTTCAGTCACCTCWGTGGCCACTGACTCTGATGAAAACCCAGAGTGGAAAATGAAAACTGAAGATTAATCTGAGCTTKATTTTGCTTTCTGTTGAGAGGTTCTGCATTGCAGCTGCATGTGGCTGAACAGAATTTCAGACATGTTGTCATTTAAAGGTTATTTGAAACAGGAACATGGGAGGAGTTAGGAAATCACCTTCTGATACACATAGGTCTACTTTAGTGTTTTTATTTGTAGTTGACATTAAAAATATGACATGATAGGATATGAAATTAAAAAATAAGACTGTCTGATCAAGGGGGGACACCAATCCTTTAGAAGTGACCATTACCCCCACCTCARTGGTGGTGCTCCTTTCACTAATATTTACCATATTTGGTGATACTGTATGTTTATTTAAGGGTGTCCAACTATCCTGCATGCTTTAAAGGTTTCTCTGCTCCAACACACCTGATTTGAATGAATGAATGGTAATTGAGCGGGGTAACAAGTAAGACATGCAGGATAGTTAGCCTTCAAAGGATTAAACCCCCCTGATTCAGTTAGTTGATCTCCTAGTTTACATGTCCAACTCAAGGCCCGCAGGCCAAATGAGGCCCTTCAAAAACCATAAACATTGACCATAAACTACATCTCCCACAATGCATGTTAATTATCTGATATTATTAATTATTTGTTAATGACTTCAACTCTGTCGATCTAAGRCTGAAACTCTGGCATGAAAGGCCACAAGCGAGATGCATTCCTTTAGAAAATAATTAAATTAATTACCTGTTATTTGTTTGCTTTTAGGGCTGCCACAAACAATTATTTTTATAATCGATTAATCACAGATTATTTTTTTCGATTAGTCGACTAATCGGATCATATGTTAATTGAATATAAAACATAGAGCTTATCACATCAGAATGCAGCTGCTATAACCATGGTTAGATGTTAGCTATATGCTAACTAAAAATAATTGCTGTGGAACGCAAGTTCTGCTCTGCAGATATTACACAGGTTTCTGTTTCATTTTCTTAAAAAGTTCCCACACTTTTGAGCTCCATAACTGGGTAGCCATGATACCAGAGCCTGTCTGTATAATGTCTTGTGACGTCCACGGCCTACCCCAGTTACCACTACTGTGCATGTGTGTCAAGGACAGAAAGGCAGATGTGGCAGTGGAAGGTGTCAAAACAGTTTGGAGAGAAAAACAAAGTAAAGAACAAAAAAAAAAAGATTAATCGATTATTAAATTAGTCATTGATTATTTTAATAATCAATTAGTCGTCGATTAATCGATTAATCGTTGCAGCCCTATTTGCTTTAAAGCTTTTAATTAAATAACATTAAATATAAATGTTTATTAGTCATCCTATCAAACAGGATTCAAAGTCTGCTAATGTGTGACTTTAATTTATAACATGAGAAAATTACAGCTAATGTGTGTTCAGTTAATAAAAGATGTGTTAAATTAATAAAAAGTTCTGTTTTGGTTGTTGTGTTTCCTGGAAATGAAAGCAGAATTACTGTAAATTATTTCAACCCAACAACCAAACGCAACAAAACACGACAAAAACCCATCAGAGGGAATTTCTGACAGAGTTTAGGTCATTTTGAACTTCCACATTTCACGTCTGGTTTGAAGCCGTTGCAACACTTTCCAGCCGGCGCTGTTGTTTGTGAGAAATGTTTCTTACATTGACAGACTGCGGGATGCCCCGGTTTTCCCACTGGTACCGGATCTGGTACTTGAGGGGGAAGATGTCCAGACTTGTCCACGTCGGAGGAGAGGACCACTGCACCAACAGGTTCTTAGCATTATGAGGGGAAACCCGGACATCAACCGGAGGATCTGGTTTCACTGCAGACGGATGGGATTTTATTGATAAGGAGGAAGCGTATCATCTCAGAGTGGAATTTAAAAAAAAATAAAAGTTTCATTTCTCACCGATGTCCTCCAGCATGAAGCTTGTGAGGTGAGAGCTGCTCCCGGCAGAATGAACTGCTGTGATGTTGATGATGTAATCAGTGAGAAGCTTCAGGTCGGGCAGGTGACAGTGCCAGAGCTGGAGTGGAGAAACATAGAAAAATTAAACCATCGTACATGTTTATCGCATGCCTCAGAAAGGCGTCTGTCTGTTAGCAAAATATCTCACAAACCACTGGATGGATTATTGGGACGCTTTCGCAAAATATTCAGCGGKTGTAACTGTACAAGTGATTAACTCCTGGCGTCAACTCATTTTGAGATGGCCACCACAGTCAACCCATCTTACAAAAACACAGAAATGAKTAGAACTGAATCCAACCTTTATAGTGAGCAAAGATCTGGTGTGGTAGTAGCTGAGAGTCCTTCACAACACATACTCTGAGGGCGACTTATTGTACAAGATCTTAGCTTAAAATGAAAGCATTAAATATTGGGGCCCAGAAAAGATTACAGTTGGCACGTTCAGACATATTTAATTGTTCTTGTCGGTTCTGAAGCTTTTGGTTGATTACTACACAAAACTCTGATGCTTTAAACTTTTATATTTTCCTGTAAGTAAGTAAGTAAGTAAGTAAGTAAGTAAGTAAGTAAGTAAGTAAGTAAGTAAGTAAGTAAGTACTACAGCTGCTTTCCTGGACTAAAACCAGCTGAGTGGATTCTGGAAGCCACTCCTGATCTGCTGGAGGCCTCAGTAAGTCTGTACCTGCTGGGAGGATGATGATGGTGATGAGGTCAGAGCTGACGATGAAGATCCAGGTGGGATGAGATGACAYAGCTTGGTGCTTGTGTGTCTGTGCCTCTCACTGTCAAACAGAAACACACACACACACTATAAGGACCACTGCTAAYTGGAGCCTGTTTTACTAAAAGGGGTCAGTGTGGGCGCAGAGGTCACAGGCTCACCTGTAGGTGGCGATATAATGAGTTGGAGGGGAGTGGGAGGGCTGAGGCCAGGAGCAGAGCGTCACATTAGGATAGCTGGAACACCAGCAGTGCACCATGGGAGTGGGGGGCGGATCTGAAAACAGAAACCACATCTTGTTGTTCAACAAGCACAACATTTTTTATTTCRATCATTTATTAATTGGGGTTCAATTGTGAAAAAAAWCATCAATATCTTACCTGCCATAGGTAAGTCTTTGAACAACCTCAGAGTTTAATRCAGAGCAGATTAACGAGCTAACAGCTAGCATGAATGCAGCCAAAACTAAAATGGCTTCCTGTCWTCTTAAATAAAAGCTAAAGTTCAGTCTGAGCAGGGCTAAGCCTGAAGCTACAGTAGCTCATGTGTGAGTCCTTCTATAAACTTCACACTGCTTTCAGTTTTAGCATTACTCTGTGATTTCAGGTGATATTCCAGCAAGAGGTCCCCAGGTTGCACAAGAAGTGCTACAGCTAGCTGCTACTACGGTTTGCACTTACAAATGACCACAAAGTTCTATAAAAATAATATTTAGTGAAATTTAAAACAGTGTGAACGATGTTTGATTGAACTTAATGTTTTTGGGTTGGAGTCGTTTTAAAAGGGCAGCAATCCGGTTTAATCTTGACCGCACTCCGACTAGCCGTTAGCTCATCAACTGGTCATTATGAAAATGAGATCGCTCAAAGAGCTATTTACAACAGGCAAAATACTCATTGTTCACAAAACTCCATTTAAAAAAAAAATCAAAGTTTCACTGTTTACTTTATTTTTCCATCACACAAAAAAAATAAGAATAACTGAATTAAAATCCAGTTCAAATGGAAATACTTTATTTTTAGTTTGGACATTCTGTCCTGCTGCAGACTAATGGTGCACAAAGTAGGGGTCTCGACCCCACCGTGGGTCAAGAATTGYCATCTGAGGGTCTTCGGATAATTTTCAGAAATTTAATTTTAAAAATAATAGCTAATGGCTTTTTTTAAAATTAAATCATACACAGGGCCGGCTCTGGGCATCAGCAACCTAGGTGATGCCCAGGGCAGTGTTTTTCAAAGAGGGGCTGCTTGGGGGGGCCTCAGAAAGCTGGAGGGAAAATAAGAATAAAGAATTAGAAAAAAAATCCATTAAATGTTTTAACTCATTATTATAGGCTCAAATATGTTTTTCAATTATTTAAAATGTAATTCCAGAATATATTGAAATGTTATTTCAGAGAGCTTAAGAGACGTTTGATTTCTGTTCTTATCGTCAACAGTTTGTCAGTGGGAATTTCTTTTTGGCATCCTGCAGAAGGTGACATATGACCTAATATGGACAAAGTTTTTCCAATGTGGGGACAGCTCCTACATTGGTTTTATATAGCAGCTGGCAGCAGGTCTCCCATCCAAGCACTAACCAGGCCTGACCCTGCTGAGATCAGACAAGCACTGSTGTGTTCAGGGTGGTATTCCTGAAGTGGGGATTTAACAGCGTTTAATACATGTTCATTTTTTATGCTAAACAAATGTAATAGTTATTGAACGGTGAATAAAAGTGAGAAACTTAAATATTGTAAAAGATGTTTCTTCTCATATTTTGTAGCATTGTTTGTGGATTTGCAAAGGGGGTCCTCAGCTAAAAGCTAATGCCGTTTGGGGGTATGGCATTGAAAAATATGTGAACCCTTGGTTTAGGCTTAGGGTGCCACTGCTTCAAAAAAAAAAACAAAGGTAATAGTAATTATTTGTATGTATGTATTTTAATGACCCTGAAATCCTGGTCAGATAGGTGTTAAAATGTCAAATCAACAGAGTAAGGGCTGGTAGAGATCAGGCTGAGGAGCACTTTTAGAGGTGAGAGACGACWACAGGTCCTTCCATAAATCCAGAGATGAGTTTGGATCATACTTCTGTATCTGCACTGTGATGGTGCATGACATCCTGACAAAAATATAACTAATAATGTCAACAGAGTATTTTAACTTTATGRCATTTGTTGTTAGGGATCAGGGTGGGTGGGGCAGACGTCCCGGAGAGGAGTGCTCGACCTTTAACTCGCCCAGGGCACCAAAATGCCCCTGATCGTACGTGACATCATTACAAATAAAAAAACAAACAATAGTAATAAATACAAAAAAGGAAATGGCACCATAATTCTTAATTGTATCAGTATTTTGCTTTTAATTAATAGGATTATTAGCCAGGTCTGAACACTTAAATCAGTGAGATTTAGGGTCCCAGGGCTCTGACACTGTTATTTTTGTGGGTCTGAAGCTTAAAAAAAAGGAAAAAAAAAAGGTAAAATATGGGGGAAAAGTTATAAGATAGCAGATATTAAGGCCTAAAGTAGAAATGAATAGAGGTTACCAGCTTGAAGAAACTGTTTACAGGAGTTTGGATCAAAAAATATTTCAGATCATATRAATATCCAGAATCACAGAAAACTAGACCACAAACTGCTTCATGACAACTGGTCCCTAATAGTCCCGTTCATGCTGGAGCCCAGCAGAACCAGAGGGGTTTGCTTCATTGATGTGATGCCAATGATCCCCGGACAGAGRGGGACTCACCTCCTGATGTGGCGGTGGCTCTCAGCAGGTCCAACGCTTGACTTCCCAGAACAGAAAAAAGAAGCGCCACAGTGACGCACACACGCACCAGCATCACAGCCATCAGGGCTTCAGGTCAGTGTAAACAAACAAACAAATAAATAATAAATAAATAAATAATAAAGTTAGGCTTCAGACAGAGGTGCTCAGTAACAGCTGTCCTCTGAGTATTTGAGCAGCACCTCAGCTCAGCTTTTTAACTCCACTGAGCTCATTATGAAACAGGAACAGAGGGAAAAAACAACCACTGCAGTCATTTRGTGTCGAGTTTCTTTACGTCACAAACTGTACGTTTGTGTTACACTTGCAACTTAAAATAACAGCACATACACAGTACGTTTGTTTGGTTTTAAATAACGAAACACATTTTTCATAAAAAGACTGAAACATTTAAAGAAACTAATGAGTGACGACAGTGTAAAATCAGTAAACAGTTTTTTTCTCAGGTACTCTCCCTGACAGTTCGGTGCTCTTGGCTGCCACCTAGAGGCCACAGGCAGCAGCTGCAGGTTAAAGAATTATTTACATATAAAGTGATGAATGCTTTAAAGGCTGGTGGTTCACAGTCCAGACTTGATCCGGTCCGCGCTCTTTCAAAGGTGTTTAAACTGGACTTTGTGGGGCCACGACAGCTTCTTTGGGAGGGAGGGGCTGTGGATTTTCCAGGCCACTCCTGGAGCTCCGTCTCTGTGGATGCCAACGCTGTGAAGCCCCCCTCCTCCGGAGGTCCGCAGAGACGTGAAGGCCTTACTGATCCAGTTGTTCTTTGCTTCCTGGAGATCGTTGGCCAGAACTCCCTTCTGATGCTCCAGGTCCTGGAAAGCAAGACGAGATCGGTGCAATATGAGAACATTTTATTAAAAAAAAGGGATTTAAGTTTAAACTTTAAACTTTTTTGATATTTTTATCAACAACCACAGATTGTAAAAATGTCAGGTTAATGTGCTGCTAAAATAAAGATTTGATTCAAACCAGCTTATTTCACACCACCTTGTTTGTAAAAACTTTTAAGTGAAGTTCTTGTTTGATCTCTTAGTTTTCAGGGTTTAAGTTGGGGAGGACTTCCAGCTACTACCACACCTAAMTTTAGCTCATTATCTTTAATTAAAACCATTTATGTGTTTGCTCAGCTTGATCAGCAGCCATCTTGAATCAGGACTATTTGCTCTTACGACTCGTTATAAATTGAAACTTCCATCATTAGGAATTAGGGCAGGTGTCAAACCTAAGGTCCGCGGGCCAGATCGGGACCTCGTTAAATATTTTATCTGACACAAAATTCAAACTTTGTAAATTAAAATAGTTTATTGGTTTCTATTTTTGTTCTTATGACAGCTGACCAACTTTCAAGCCTATAAAATGAAGTTTAAATTTTTCAGTATTTTCTTATTTTAAAGTGAAATAATTGAATTTTAATGAGTCGTCTTTTTTTTCCACTGATTTGCTGGATTGTGATAAAATGTTTCTAAGAAACAATGAAAAWGTCATTAGAGAGTAAGGCTTAATAAATGAATGCTAAGATGAGTCTTTTTAAATTTGATCTTTTTTCTTTATCTGTTACATTATGCATGTTCTAAATGTTACATAATATGTAATTTGTAAACGGTTTTTGTATTTCTGTGAGAATAATTTGTAATAGAACATATTTTTATATAAAAACTGACAGATTGGCCCTTGGCTTGGACCAAGTTTTGAATTTTGCCCCCTTATGTCACTGAGTTAGACCCCCCTGAATCAGGACAGATCTTTACAAGAGAGAAAAGAGAAACCAACATTTACATTCTGTCACTTAATAGAATTTATGTTGTTTCCCAAACTTGCCTTCATCACAACCTCCGGATGAAGATGATTCAGTTATCTCAGTAGTTAAACTTTTCTGAAATTTAGCCACATTTCCTGTAATCCACATTCAGCCATGTGACAGCTGGGTGGGAAATTATGTAACTAAACTTCCTCAATTCAGTTTCTCATTTTTTTTGTTTTGCAAGTATTTCTTATTTTCTTTTGTCTGACACAAGCTGAGGTACTCCAGCTTCTGCAGGAGTGAACGAATACGCTTTGTCTTCATTTTTATTCAATTTAATTACGACTCAAAGGGCAGTGGTGTGAGCATAAAACCTTCCAGACTTAAAAAAAAATAAAAAAAATATTTGTCTCTTCACTGCAAACAGTTTTCTCTAATATAAGAATACTGAAGGGGAATTTATTCTAACAGTGATTTTTTTTAAATMCACTACACATTCTTGTTTTTACCTAGAGGTCATGTTATGGTAACCTCTACTTTTATGATTAAACTGTGATGAATTGATGTGCAGTCGTCATCTCAAACAGACTGTGCTTTTAAATGATACAATACATTAACACAGCCCGTAGCACCATCCAACAACTACTTTTCTTATCCAGCAATCAGTATTACTGTAACAGAACCCCAGCCCCTCGGTAGGAGGGGTCCGCCCGACTGATGTGACGTATTGCCCCTAAATGAGGGGCTGTGTTCAGAGGAGATTGTTTAAAATGTACTGTGATTCATGTATTTTGAATCACAGCACATTTTGTTTCCTTGTTCTCAACAAAAGGAACTCAACTTAACTTCTGCACCGATGTAAAAAGAACACGTTATCTTTCATTACAGATGGATAAAAAAGGGGAGTTAAAAGACTTTTAAGAGCTTGTGGATCTCGAACAGTGACAGGATCATAATTTACCTGGATCTTGCACTTGGCCTCCACCATTAGCAGTTTGGTCTGGGCCAGTTCCTGTTCCAGTTCCCGGACCTGAGTCTTCAGGGACTCCTCCTCCTGGTCCTCCCTGATCCGTTCCTTCTGCTCAGGAGCTCCCTCAGTCTTTGTCTCCTCTTGGTCTCGTTCAGTCTGTGAGTTTTCAGAGTCATCCTCTGGAGTGAGCGACTCTATAAGGTGGCGACAGCTGGGACAAGTCTTTGTGCTCTTCTGTAAGACGAGAGGAGACGAGCAGCAGAAAGTGAAACGGATTTAGAGGCCTCTAATGTTGTCGAAGTAAAAAAGACCTGACAAATAAAAAAATGACAGGGTTTTAGAGATGTCACCTTGAGAGCATCCAGTTGGTTTCTGTGAGCAGCCTGCTGCCTCTCCAGACGCAGAGTGAGCTGAGAGCAGATCTGAAGAACAAAAAACATCCTATTTTAAATCATCAAGTAAAAATGAAAAATGGGCTGAACTTATATAGAGCTTCATCAAGCCCACTTGGACCCCACAGCTCTTTACARTTCAGTCATTCACACACTGATGATGGTAAGCTACATTAGCTGCGTTTCCATTGACCGTGTAAATGCGCGAATTAGAATTTCAAAAATAAATTTGCTCAGTGGAAACGTCAATTTCAAAAAACGTCCTCTTTTCGACAAAATGTTTTTGCGCTAGGATGAGGTGTTTTTTTGGCCGTATCGAAATTGGTGTATCTTGCAAAACTGCAATGGAAACACTTTTTTCGCATCACGGGAGTCACGTGATCAACAACCGGCTGTTTCTACTGGCGAAAAAGATGACAACAAAGAAAACAGGAAGTAGAAGTAGTAGTAAAATCACCAAAGTTGTAAAAGAAAGTAGTAAACTCACCGACTACATTTTCCCAAAAACGCAGCATACGTAGTCGCTCCTGAGTATCAGGGGCTCGTCGCTCGAAAGTCTCGATAAGACGCCGACATCTCCTCTGATGGCTGATGATGAGCGCTAGTGTCGTGATAGCAATATGCTATGTGTTTACATCCATTGCCGCCATGTTTGTAATGACTTATCGCGAGAACAAACGTATTCACGCGTGACTTTAATAGCATTTCTTACTTAATGGAAACACCGCAAATGCGAAACTGTGTTTTGTCGACATTTAACAGAATATCGACAAAGTTTTGCACACATTTGCAATGGAAACACAGCTACTGTAGCCACAGCTGCCCTGGGGCACACTGACAGAGGCGGGGCTACCATGCACTGGCGCCATCGGACCCTCTGACCACCAGTAGGCAAGGCGGGTGAGGTGTCTTGCCCAAGGACACAACGACTGAGACGGGATTGAACCGGCAACCCTGCGGTCACAGCACGACTCCTCTAACTCCGCCACATCCAGCCTGTGCTTTAATTGTTACCTGTTTGTAGTCTGCAATGATCCCAGAAGACCTCCTCGCCTCCTGCTCAGTCTGCTCCAGCTCCCGTCGAAACACTTCCTTTAGCTAGATGAAGAGATTTTTAAAAGGTTTTATTTGTTACACAGAGTTAAAGTTATACATCAYCAGGCAGGATAAACTGTTACAGCCATTCAAACCTTGTAAATGACGTAACAACATGCAGGTGTTGGTTCTCAGCTACTACCGCACCAGATTTTAGCTTAATWTCRATCAAATTTGATWGAGTTACAGCTATTTTTGTGTTTACAGTTAGCTGTGGTGGCCATGTTGGATRAGGATGACTCCAATGCTRTTTACTTTTAAGAGTTTTATTCAAATCTGTGCCATAGTTCATMAGGTATTTTGCTTTTACTGTTACCAAGGTAGCCTCTTCCTCTTTTCCTATTTTCTCCTCTTCTGTAGCCTGCAGTTGCTGTCTGGTCCTCAGAAGGTCTTTGGTTAGTTCATCCACTCTGTCTTCTGCCTGCAAAAACAAAATAGCTGTGTTTCCATTGCAAATGTGCGCACTTTGTTGATATTCTGTTAATGTAAAAAAAAAAAACAGTTTTGTAATTGCGGTGTGTAAGAAATGCTATTAAAGTCATGCGTGAATACGTTTGTTCTCGCGATAAGTCATTACAAWCATGGCAGCAATGGATGTAAACACATAGCATATTGCTACCACGACACTAGCGCTCATCATCAGCCATCAGAGGAGACATTGGCGTCTTATCAAGGCTTTCGAGTGACAAGCCCGATACTCAGGAGCAACTACGTATGCTGCGTTTTTGGGAAAATGTACTCAGTGAGTTTACTACTTTCTTTTACAACTTCAGTGATTTTACTACTACTTCTACTTCCTGTTATCTTTTTTTCGTCGTCTTTTTCGCCAGTAGAAACAGCCGGTTGTTGATCACGTGACACCTGTGATGTGAAGAAAAAGTGTTTCCATTGCAGTTTTGCGAAATATACCAAATTCGATACGGCCGAAAAACCACCTCATCCTAGCGCAAAACCATTATGTCGAAAAACATTTTTTTCTAAATTGGCGTGTTTCCATTGAGCAAATTTATTTTCGAAATTCTAATTCGCGCATTTTCATGGTCAATGGAAACGAAGCTGTTGATTCACCCAGGAAATAAATTCTTGTCAGAGTTATTCTTATACAGCCCGATACAATGCCTGCACTGAAATTCAGTATATTTATATTTTTAAACATTTGAAGAGGGAGCAAAGCATCTTTCTCGACTTTCATTAACCCCAGGAGAACATAAGGCAGGAACAGAGGAACAAAGTTATCAAGAAACGTAGGTACCAGGAAGCATACAGTAGATATGAACCTTTTGGTTCCCTTTTTTGAATTGGGTCTGTTAAAATGCCCTGCCTGCAGYGCTACGTATTCTAGAAAATAACGGAGGCAMCAGGATAAAATTTGGGTRAAAATTACAGAGATTAGGGATGCACCGATATAAGTATCAGTCTGATCCAGTTTGACTGGAAGTGACGGGGTATCGAGCTACGAAAGTCYAACTGGCAACTGGGTTGACCACCTCCATCAACCTACACCATTCTGAGGAGAAGGAACGAACCTAAAAGCTAACTATAAAACTGTTAATGGACCAGTTAGCTTCTGCTATATTAGGTTTTAACAGCTAACTAACAAGCTAACATCAACAGGTTTGTGTCAGTCCCACCAGTRTTCAGCTCAGAGTCTTTGTGGTTAGCYATTAGCTGCTGGTMTTATCTGTGCCCGCCACTGTGCATCAGTGTCGGCTCGGATCCAAGTACTTGTTTGAAAGAATGTGGTATTTTAACAAAGCTCCACTATAAGTTCTTGTGGATCTTACTGAAGTTTAGTTTTTGAAGGAAGGTTTGTGACTGTACCGTGTCCAGAGCTCTCCTCAGAGCAACCTTGCTGCTGATCAGTCTGTGGGCCAAACTGTCATTTTCCTGCTCCAGGCGAAGACTGGTCTGCTGGAGCCGGTGGTTTTCCTTCTGCAAAACACACACACACACACAAAAAAAAAAAACACATCAGGGATCTGCAGCTGATGAATGAAAACGCAATATGAGTCAAACGTGTCTCTGACCAGGTACTTGTCCAAAGGGTCTTCTTTATTATCCGTTATCTGAAGCTGGAAGTCCCGAAGTTTAGCTTTCTTTGTGGGGACCTGAGGAGACAGAGCTGATTTAAGATTACAGTAACGTAGAAAAGCTGTCATTTCTGACCGAGCTCAAGAAAAGCTATCATTCCCCAACAGATTTATAGGATGTCGGATAAGCTTGACAAATCAAGAACAGGCTTCAGAAAGACATCCAAACAGGCATAAATCAAAGATAAGATAATGCTGAGTACATGGGGGACATGGTAATCTACAACGCGTTAGGGAGTTTATAGAGGGGGAGGGGTTGTTTTTTTTTTCCAGAAAGCATGAAATGGATTGTCATATCTTAAATATCTGAAACGAACAAGCAGGAAGCATTTCGCTTTATCTCCGATCAAAAATCTGTCTTGCGGAGGAATATGTTTTGTGTTGGGCTCACGCTTGTCACTGCCTGTCAGTAATGGCTCCCGCAAAGAACGATTTAAAATTCAAGTGAGCTGATTTAATGAGACACCCCCCCCCCCCAAAACACACACACACTTCTCTGCACAGGCAAATACAAAACAGCAGTTTAAAACAACAACACACTTTTCAAGTTGTGCAGCACTTTCAAGTCAAGTGAGGTCATAAAGTAAAAGTAAAAGTGCACCAACAGGAAAACAATCTGGAATTTGTTGTTTTTTCTGCAGGTTCTGGAGACTAAGCCGTTGAATAAAGACGTTTTGTTTCTTGGATCAATGCATATCACCCGCCTGTCATGTCAGAGTTTTAAGGTTATTTTATGTTGAGAAAAGTTGCTGCTTCTGTTTTGGGCAACTACAAGGWTCAATGTTGTTTTAGACAAACTTTAGTGAGAACATGACGATCTAATGTGACTTAAGATGTCACTCTGAYGGGATTCTCATCTACTACCACATCGAAATTTAGCTCAATATCTGTAAAATCAGKTGAGTTACAGAATGTTTTATGTTCGCTAATATAAGTTAGCACGTTAGTTATTTACTTTTGGATCAACTCCAAAAGTAAATTTGTTCCAAGCGTACGTCTAATTACTATTTTCTAAGTTTTGTTCAAATCTGTGCAGGGGTTCATGTGATATTTGGCTAACAAACAAACAAACAAACAAACAAACAAACAAACAAACAAACAAACAAACAAACAAACAGGACAGCTTCATCAGCTGTGCAGAATGAGTGGCTCTTAAAATATGTGCTGTTAGTCTCAACTGTGACATCATCAAATGTAGGTCAAGACACTTTTCGTGTTTTTTTTAAGTTGGTGGGCTATGGCAGCCATCTTGATTTGTTTTGACGCCATAAGTTTATCATTTATAGAATTTTTTTCTATCTGAGTTTCATGTGATATTTGGCTAACAGTCAAAGGTAACTCCAAAAGGTTAGTGTCATACTATTAAATCAAAACGTTGTTCAGTCTGTTAGTCCTCAAAAGGTGTCAATGATCTGCCTCAGCTACTGCCGCCATACATGGACCATTTCGTAGTTTCAAATGTGCAAAACTGCCAGGTCACAGGTCATACAGGATAAACGATAAGGTTGTTATAGGAACGCWATTGGAATTGAACAAATTCAATCAGTAAATTTACGCCGTCTTACAGACCTGTGTTTGCTCCAAACTGATTCACTGACTAACCATGTTAAACCCTTCCTTTAAGATCATAGAGATTTTTCATCAATATATTTAACTTATAAATTTGTTTCTTTGTCTTAATTTGGAAGCATTTTGGTTTTTGTATATAAATTGTTATGTAGATATTAACTACGAGGGCAGAAGTCCCAACAAACTCCTGGATCATTTAATGAAGTAGTGAGTACTGGTAGGACCTAAAAATAACCAAATATTTTAAAGGGARCCCCGAATAGCTGTAACATTAGACTTTATATGATAAACATATACTTTAACTGTAAAATAAAGACTGTAAAAATACTGTAGGATGTTCAGTTTTTATCATCTTTAAACTAAAAGTTTAAAAATATATTACACGGACGAGGCCATTTTATTTAAACGCAAAGCATTCTGGGTAAATGACGACATCAACTAGGTCATCGACACAAGGCTGCTAGTGAGGTATATCCACTCTGAAGGTTGATCTTGGACAATATCTGATGATTGGCTCCTTTAGATGAAACCAGAGAGCGTTGACAGAGAGGAGAAGGTAGAAATGACTCAGCCTGTAACTGAAAATATGGATGGAGGACAACAGAGCTGCTTCATGGAAGAAGAACCTCAGCTTAGCCTGTTAGCTTTAGTGTTAGCCCCGACGCTATCACCATATATATGTATTAGCTCAGCGCTACACATTCTCCTCTCATCACTGAGGTCCTCCATCCAAATGATAGAGAGGGGAACACAAAACTGACTCAGCTGCAACTGAAAATATGGATGGAGGACTTCAGTTTAGCTTCTTTGTCACGCTAGCGCCGAGCTAATACATATAAGGCAATATAGTGCGAGGGCTAGCGCAAAGGCTAACAGGCTAAGCTGAGGTTCTTCTTCCATGAAGCAGCTCTGTTGTCCTCCATCCATATTTTCAGTTACAGACTGAGTCATTTCTACCTTCTCCTCTCTGTCAACGCTCTCTGGTTTCATTTAAAAGAGTCGATCATCAGATATTGTCCAAGATTAACCTTCAGAGTGGATATAGCTCGCTAGCAGCCTCGCACCAATGACCTAGTTGATGTCATCATTTACCCAGAATGCTTTGTGTGTAAATAAAATGGCTCCGTCCGTGTTAAAATATATTTTAAAAAATTTACAAAACTAAACAGCCTACAGTATTTTTACAGTCTTTATTTTACAGTTAAAATTAATGTTTATCAAATAAAGTTTAATGTTATGACTAATCGTGGATCCCTTTAAATATCTTGTGGCTAGCTCAGTTTATGTGGGTAAAAGCAGAAAGTTCAAAATAAACTGACTAAACAACAATGGAAGCAGTAATTATATTTTGCTGGTAAATGCATAAAGTTATGTTAAAAGTAAAGCTGTTAAAGTAACAAAATTATATTTTTACAAACGAAYGCTTAAAATTTGCACTTTGTCTTTTAGACCCCCGCTGGTAAAAAGCCCTACTCTGCTTTGACACTTGAACATTTTTCCTCATCAAGTGTTTTCTGTGCCAGAATGTGCAAAAAACATAAAAAACGGAAAAAACACGGCTGCATTCATTAAATTTAATAGCAATGTGGGTTTTTACCAAAAAAACCTCTGACCCTACCCACAATGAAAACACAGAAAACAACTAAATAGACTATTATAGCTCAAATCCAACATATTGGGAACAGATGCATGAGCACAAACATTCCTGCCCACCTTTCATTGGCAGGTGATTAAAAACAACACATGGTTCTTTAAAAACCAAACGTTTTGTAAATAAATCCACGGTGAGTCTCACCCTGAATCCCGGTCCTGCCTCGGCCACCAGACAAGCCAGGATCTCCTCCTCGCTCATCTGTTCAATGGCTCGGGCGTCGTTGGACGTCAGCATGGACACCTCTTCCATCATCTTGCCCAGATCTTCAGCCACGCGGGCCGCCTTCGAAACGCCCAGGAAAGTCTCCAAATCCACCTGCAAGACCACCTTTTAAAAAAAACAACAGCTCGGAGACGTGAAGCCGGAGTATCAACAGGAAAAACAGTCAGGATAAAGTCCAAGTTAACCGGAAGACAACAAACTGCTTACAGCTCAAAGGTGAGCGGCAGAAATAAACCTGAACAGGTGATATGTGACCAGGTAGAAGCCACACACTAAGTACGGAGGTGTGTGTGTTTTTACAAGTGTTAAGGGCTGGTTTACCTGAAAGCAGGTGAAAACAAAACYACTTTGAACACACCCACGTGTGCTTAACATTCAGCGTCTCCRCCTGTCTTCTTCCACAGACAAACCTGTTTCCAAACCTGTCCTCAGAAATATTCACCTGCTTGGTTCTAATTTATGAGGCAATAATGAGATTACACCTGATCTTATCCGTCTTTATGCTCCTTTAWAAAGGATTGTTCACAGTGACTCAGATGTTCTGAACCTGTCAGACATGATAACTAAACACAGCCTGAGTGGAAAGACGTGGAATGAGCGATATGTCACTCCGGGGTGTTGGTGCAGATCCAACAAAGAAGGCCGACGGGACAGCAAACAGGTCCAGCAGGTAAACCAGTAAATACAGAAGAGCAGGATAACAGGGAAGATGTTGCACCTCCGCCCACATTTCTCCTGCAGTCAACATGATGATGCAGTTTTTTTTTTTCATTTCTTCTTTACTCGTGAAATTTCTCAGATCCCAGGTTTTATTTCCCTTCCTTGAGCTTCAGCGAGTGGGTGTTTTTTTTCTTTTCACTTCTGCCTTTAATTTTACTGGAGTTTTTCTACTCTCTTCTCTCTGTGGTCAACACTTCTGCAGTGTGCTTTTTTTCTTTTAACACTCAAGATTTCAGCACCCTGCCTCTCTTCTCTGAATCATTGGTAAGGGGAAAAAAAAGACATAAAAAAAAAAAGCCCAGGAAGACAGTAACATTTATTTTTGCTCAAAAAAGGGAACAATTTTTGTGAAACATGGTGAATTTTCGCTCAGCAGGAAGGTGGACCAAATCATTTCCCATTGATGCAACAAAGCTTAAAAACAGAAACTAAACAATCAAAAGCAGAAATAAATACATCTTCCACCCAATGAGGATTATATTTTGTTGAGTGAGAATATAACAGCTGTTTATAAACACCAAAACTTGGAAAAATAACAACAGTTTATAAAAGAAGTGATACAAACGATGTGATATAAGTATTTTTCTAAAGATCAGGTCTGAGCTCAGACTCGTAGCCTCAGGATTACCGGACCAGGACCCTGGYATTTGATTAAGGGCATTTTCACACCTGATAGTCCAGCAGACTCGGTTCGATTGGGGACCAGAATTGCAACATTTGTTACATTTTCAGCTGGTGAAGTTTGCTTTCACACTGCACTGAGTCAAACAAACTAAACCCTTAGAGCAACRTGTTCACCTCCTCGCCTGTGGTGGTGCTSTATCAAGAACCAGTYAAGGAAACGACACAAAAACCTCTGAACAAGACACTGAGCGCAACTAATCTGGTCGCTGAAGGACAACCTGGAGCCGCACAAATGAACAATTCAACATCATTATTCTGAACTTTGGCTGAACTATGGCTTTATCTTTTGGGGACTAGATTCTTTAGACTCATTCTTCAGATATTCACACAAATGCATACAACATTCTAGATACACACCCTCTAAACTCACTTAGTCCTCTGGCTTATAAATTCTTGCTCTGCAGAGGTTTATTTTTTATAAACACCATAGTGTATCAGATTTTGTTGATATATGTTTTGTTATTTTTCCTCATCTACCCTTGTGTTTTTATTTTTTCGTTTTTCTTTTTAAAAGGTAGCGCGACCCCTGCTGGTTGCTGCATGACCTGATCACCTATGTTTTTGTCATGTGTGTCTCTTGTATGCGTGTTCTTAAACGTAATTTCATTGTGTTCTGTACAATGGCAATAAAGGCATCATCAATCAACTTCCTTCTTTATGAAATGTAAAAAACAGATGGAGTGATGTCAGATTTTAGCAGCTGTAGGATTTATCTTTTGTTTTTGGCAAATGTGCCAAAAACAAACACTCTTCAACACGAGCCATTTTTTCCACTAGCGCTACACATGTGTGTTTGTTTTTGGTTTTATTTACTCAAAATGCCCTGGCTGTAGTTCACTTTTTTGCTTTTGAAACTGTCTCTGGTCCGCTTGGCATTCACACCTCCCCAATCGAACCAGGCAAACAAACTAGTTTGATTAAAAAGGACTAAACAGGGTCGTGTGAATACACCACTATAATATTTTTGAATAAATACTGCATCACAAATACACTCACTGATGAAAAAAAGGGTTACCACCCAGAAGGAGCAATGGTAGTTCAAGTAAACAACAGTATGCCACAGCTGTAAAAACTAATGATTTGTTGTTTATTATTAAAGCTGTCTGAGGAGCTAGCATGGAAGGTATACCAACGTTATAAAAGATAATCTCCAAGCAGCTTTGTGTTCCTCTGACAGAAGCAAATAATAAAAAAACTACAGGGTGAATAAAAAGTCTRAGGARACCCTTTCATTTCAGAAACAAAAGAAAATTTTTAGAGAAAAAAAAATAAAACTTGCCCTCGATCCAATATGGTGGCTTTCAAGATGGCGGCCATGTTCTGGACATYACCTTAAAGATCGGCCACCTCACAATTACTTCCTGGGGTATTCACWATGTAATTTTCCCTTTTGTTTCTGAAATAAAAAGGATCTCCTGAGACTTTTGACTCACGCTGTGCTCAGAGTTTTTAACTCTGTTGAGTTGTGGGGGGTAGCGGCCATCTTGAATTCTGAACTCTCCCACTTTCCAACAAGAATGTTAAAAACTGTTGCATGTCGACARAATTATGTCTAAATCGGATTATTCCTTCTGGGTGCACAATTTCATTTCGTCAGGGAGCAACAAACAACTTTTAGCATATTTTGTCAGCAGCTCTAAAAAGTCTTTAAATGTACATTTWTAGTGCCTTCTTATTTTATTCCTCAGTCAGACAGCACACAGGAACACAAAACAAGAACTCAAATGAAAGATCACTAAATTACACATTTTTATATTTTTCACAAAACTCCAAAAATGAATAAAAATAAATAAACCGAGCTTTAAACTGCACAGATAGAATGACTTCTAAAATCAGCAAAACATTGTAAATAATCCATCTTTTAAACAAGGTTAAAATCAAGAATTTGTAATAAAAAAAGTTCACAAACTCAGAAACCACAGCAAAACCGACTGTTTCAGTGCTCGAGTTTCATTCATCAGAAAAGACAAAAATAAACGTGAGACTTTTCTCACAGGCTGAGGGAGGAGTTCTTCAGAGAACTGCAAAGTTCCCTTTTTCCCCTTCATAAATCATTTCTGAACAGTATTCTAGTACTAGTTTCTATTACTAGTACACAACTAGCGCTGATATTGAAGAAGAAATACTGTTAGCCCTCATGTACCGTTAGCTGTAAGCTGGAGGGGGTTTACATTTCCAGTCGGACGTGTCAGACGGGGGGACTGGAAACTAAAAGTGAAACTAAAACAATCCTGACGGTCAGGGAAGTCTTTAAAACTCTTCTGTTGAAACAAACCTCATGTCTCAAACTGGACCTCTCAGTTCACCTGTGGGTTCATGACTGGGAAAGTTCGATACCAAAAAAATTAATTGGAAATTTTACTAAAAAGACAGACAGATTTCCATTTCTATTTGTGAATCTATTCTTACGTAGGTGAAGAAATGCATCACATATTTCCAGTAGTACTTTCATAAAACCACAGAAAACTCATTCATGATGAAGACATGACTCTGCTAACAAGGGAAACCCATTAAATAAATGTACTTGATTTGGATATATAAGCTCCGCCCCCACACTATAATGGGATTTTTTTTTAAACATATTTGTTGCTGATGACACCTCCCGTGGACACAGGAACCAAGWTTTGGTAAGAAAAACAAATGTTTCTTTAAAAGTAGTTTTTTTTCTTTTTAATTTGTTTGTGTTTTTTCTGTGTAGAGAGATGTGAAGATTTTCAGAAAACAATGACACCATAGCCTCTTCACACACGCCCACTGTCAGTTTGTGCTCTTTTTAACAGGGGAACTCATGAACTAACAAAAAAATTGTTTAAAATGTTTAGTGTAACCTTTAGCCAAGTTAAGTTTTTTCTTTTCCTGTATTTTTCTATGTTGTTAAAGGGCCAATATTATGTGTTTCTCAGGCATATATTTAAATACTATACCATAAGTATCTATGTCACCTCTAGCTGTTATTAAAATGCTGTTTTATGTTTAAATAGAAAATAAACTTATCTTCTCATCACTTCCTCTTCTAAACGCCTTGAAATTGGCCTCTGTCTCTTTAAGAACCACCTTCTGCTTCTGTCCCGTCCATTTCGATGCGGGGGGCTCYCACGCGCCATGATGCAGTTTATTTGGTATCTAAAATACATTTCCTCAAAGGTATTTTGAATCTGGAAAAAGCTTCACTGAGTGATGCTACGTTCACACCGACGAGTATTGAGCGGCCAAAAAGCGCAAAACGCTTCTCGTTGGACGCACTATGTTCAGACCGAAGAACGCACTAGTGTTCAGACCAGAACAAGCAGCAGCAGCGGGGTGTGGGAGGAGCGTCTCCTCGGCGGGTGAATAAAGATAAAATAAAAGAAAATGGCTTTGATTTATTTACTAAAAAGCAAGCGAACATTTAGCACAGCAGATAATTAACTCACCAGATGATTTAGAGGCGATTTGTTCAGTTAGTTTCGTCACTCCAGAAGCTGACAGACTTTTTTTTTGTCCCGAGCAGCTGATCCACATCGGTGCTGATATATCCTGCCAGAAAATCCAACTGCACATGGTCGATTTCAGGTAAAGATCTCCACTCATCTGTTTCGGTTTTCAGTGGGAGACGCGTCGAGCGGCGAAAAGTTGAGATATTTGAACTCTGGCGGCGGCTGCTTCCGCAGCACCGCATGCGCGGAAAACGCTCCCCTTCTGCCTTCCTTGCGCGCCGCCCAAAACTTACGTGACGCGACGCACGACCCCTAGAGGCGCGTCCACCATAGACTTTGCATGTGAATCGGCCGCTCCTGCCACTCAAAATGCGTTCGGTGTGAACGTACCATGAGAAGTAGTGTTGAGAACTCAGCAGACAGTTTGTTTCACTTTTGTTTGTTTTGTTACAGCCGAGAGCCTGCAGGAGTCATGGGCGGAGTGTGTGGGGTGGGGGATGGGGAGGTGTCCTCCGTGATGAGGAAGCACGGCTTGGAGACACGTCCCAGAGGCGTTTCTGGTCCCCACCTGTCGTTTTGCTCCTCAGCATGGCTGCCTAAAAACTCTGCAGGATTTCTCAAACATGCATGAATGAGTCAAAGCAAGACTTTGGGCATGTTTTTTATGAGAGTGTAACATTATAACATGARATAAAACTCAAAAAAGTAGATTTTACATTATATTAACCCTTTAATGTGGACAATTTGCCACCTAGTGGCACAAGAAGAGTACTGCAGCATTTTTGTTGGAATGAGTGGATGGGGAAATGAAGATAAACCAAAATACACAGCCAGCCAAAAACAGGTCATCACCTGGGTTTAACAAAGCAAATAGTAAGAGCCTGGTATTGGATAATTACTGCATGGATGATCATGTTTCAGCTGACAAGCTATTTAACCTTAAATGATGCAGAGTAGCTTCTTATTTGTTAAAATGTTGAAAGTTGTGGAAAAGATGTTAATTTGTTTCAGAATGGTCAAATTATTGGAAACAAGCAGAAAACATCTGACAGGGGTGTCCAAAGTGTGCCCCCTGAAGAATTATACAAATTTGTTTACAAATTCCCCCCAGCACAGGTGTAGATGGAGACTTTCTATGTTTAATTAGGGCAAAATTATCACAGATAAAGTAAAATCTACTTCCAATAAAGAATACTGGCAACAATGCCAATAATTTATCTTTAAATAACCAGGCTCTTAGCTTTTTCCACATCTATCTAGTAACTTCTATTTAAACGCTGATTTTGCTGCCCTCCAATTCGCTTTTAATTAACTTATTAAATTTGTCTGAATACAGCAAGCATTTTCAACAAAAGAGTGACCTAAATCCTGATTTTATTGATCAGAATTAACTAAATTGGATTCTTTATTCCCTAATTAAAACCTAGAAAATTGTGAAATTTCTTTCAATAAGGGAAACCTGCAACAAACTTCTGGATCTAGATTAATTTACYCATCCATTTCCAGCAATAAATCCAACTACTTTATTTGTTTAATTTGAGWATTCAATGRTTAGTTTATTGTTGAGCAGGTAAAGGAAAAATATTTTTGGCCCTCAGMTCCTTCTGACTTTATGATTTTGGTCCATGTGACAAAATGTTTGGACACCCCTGATCTAAGAGATTGATGAAACTAGTAAAATCAGGTTAAGAACTGTGCAAGGAAGGTCATGTGGTCTGATGAGTCCACACTGACCCTGTTCCAGAGTGATGGAGCATAAGAAGAGAGGCAGTGATGGCACATGGACATGTTTCTAGTTGGCAATGCCAGGATTCATCGAGCGCACAGCCTGAGACATTCATTTCCACCAAAGAGTCCAGAACTGAACCCACATTGAGAATATTTGGGATGTGCTGAAGAAGACAGTGCTCCAACTCCATCAATACAAGATCTTGGGGYAAAAAAATTACACTTTGAACAGAAAACAAAAGTTGTGACATCGCAGAAGCTTTTGRAAACTATGCCATCGAGAATGTGTGACCAACCTATTATTAATGACCTTTTTGTTGGCTGGGACATGTWTAGATAAAGTACCCACAGTAGGCAGGGCCATAGACTGCAGTACTTCTGAGTTTAAGGACATTATGTTCAATTCTCCACAAAGTTTCCTGGACCACTGGGCTCATTTGGTGCCAATTTTTCAGAAACACTTTGTTTCAAATAATTTTTATGTAAATTGCAGATTTATATCCTCTGAACAATTTCTTACTTTTAAATCATTTAGAAAAAAAGGACTCAGGAAAACGTTCTGGACACATTTCTCATGTGGCTCGAGTGATGGCATTAATCCTTGAGCTCCAACATCTACACTGAGATCCCACCTACATCAGGGGAGGTGGGATTTAGCTCTGTGCCGTACAAACCGTGGTCCTGGCAGAACTGTGCCTCATCGCTTGCAGATCAAATGTTCCTCACGCTGCAGCTTCAGTGGGTTGCAGAGTGGATCTGTTGCCCTGCTAAGAGCTCTGTGGGCTGAGTTGGTAGGTCACCTCTTTGTGTGAATGAGCGTGGGTAAATGACGAACGTCAGAGTGAGCAGTGATACAGGTGTAGGTGTTTAGATCTTAATAAATTACCTGAATTCAGTCCTAAACCAAGCAGCACGTGAGGTGTTGGGTGAGTTTGCAGAGAACGAGGAGTCAAACGTCGGTGCTGTAGGGTCGCGGCGGAGGAGGGAACGTGTCCGTGGGATTGTAGAAACTCTGAGGGGAGGAGCTCTGCGGCGTGACGGACTGGGGAAGAGTCACAGACGGGTTGTTGTAGTAGGTGTGGAAGCCCAGCCGCTCCCCTCCGTTACGCATGTCTTCTGTGAGTCCAGAGCGGACGGGGTACGGCGAACAGCTGGGGCAGGATTTGTGGAGGGAACCCGAGTCCAGCTGGTCCAAAGAGACCGGGGTGATAGCTGTGCCGTCCATGGCCAGGGCGTTGCAAGCGTTGCAGGGGAAGTGAGAGAGGGGATCGGCTCCCGCCACCGAGGCCTTGTCCACCTCCGAGTCATTTTTCTTACAGCAGTAATACTGCAGGAACATGAGACAGAATTCATACAGTCACACCAAAAACATTCTTACTACAAGAAATATAGAGATGCTGCATGAACTGAGCTTTTTATTTTGAAATTCACTCACATTCTGCTCTGATTTGTTCCTTTATAATCATGGGTGTAATTTGCTGGGGTGGGGAGGGAGGGATGACCCCCACAATAATTTGATCCAGTCAATATAACCCCCCCAATAAAATGTCATCATTTGCTCAAACACAATAGAAATGAACTGGTTAAGTCCACATCTGCAAAGCTCTTGTCTTTAGGTAGCTTTGACCCAATTTCAACATTTATGATGTCATATATGTACATTTAAGCATAGCTGCTGAAAATGACATGAAGGGTTTTCATGAATCGTGTTGTAATTTTTCCTAGCTAAGAGCACTAGGTAAATACATACTTTTGGGAAATTGAGAAATGTAGGTATGTTTGTAATACATCCTAAAAATGTAAAATATTTGTTACTGTTGGAAAAAAATGGAGAAAAAGGTAAAACCTTTTCTTAATTGTTGAATAATGTGGAACAGTAAAAGGTGCAGAGTAAATACAAAGAAAACAGGGAAGTTGAGTAAATCACACTAAAAGCATTACAATGTATTTTAACACCAAAATATCCTGAATCGTTTTATAAAAGTAAACGATTCAATAAATAATAAAATAGGCAGAGAACATAACCCTCTAAAGCAGGGGTGGGCAATCCTGTTCCTGGAGGGCCACAGCCCTGCATGTTTTACTTTTTTCTCTGCTCAAACACACCTGATTTGAATGAAAGAGTGGTTATCAGGCTTCTGCTGTAC